CCCCCGCCCTGCCCCCAGCAACTCCCACAGCCCAGCTTCTTTGCCTCCCTTCCCAGTAGCTCTCACCTCTGCAGTGGGGAGCTGTACACTGCTGGTCACAGGGTTAGTTTGGGCAGCTCACAGTCCACAGGTTTGCTCATGGACTGCCTTCCAGGTTAAGGGACCTACTTCTGTGTGGAAAGAGAATCAGGCTTAGCAGGCCCCAGACAACTCCTGCTCCTGGACAGGAATTGACCAAGGATTGTTGTAAGGCAGCTGGAGAGGAAGTCATGGGGACAGGATGAGGACAGGATGCAGCCAGTCTGACAACAGTGATTGAAAGCACAGACTCTGGAGTCAGATAGGTCTAGATTTGAGTTTTGTTTCCACCATCTATTTACTGTGTGTCCTTGAGAAAGTCACATAACCTCTCTGGGCCTGTTTACCACTCTACAAATTGAGGGTACTAGCCCCTTCTGAGTGCTGGCCCCATCTGGTGGAAGTGTGGTGTAGACTTGTGTGTTTGACTTCCTAGGAGTACTTGATCTTAACCCCAGGTTAACCCCACCCTTTCTGCAGACCCCGACTCCTGAGTCCCTTCTGACTACCATCCAGGATGAGCCAGAGGTGCCAGTGAGTGGGGGACCCAGTGGGGACTTCGAGCTGCAAGAAGAGACCACACAGCCTGACACAGCCAATGAAGTGGTGGCTGTGGGAGGAGCCGCAGCCAAGCCCTCACCTCCGCCAGGGACACTGCCCAAGGATGCCCGCCCAGGCCCTGGCCTCCACGACAACACCATCGACTCCGGCAGCTCGGCTGCCCAGCTTCCTCAGAAGAGCATCCTAGAGCGGAAGGAGGTGCTCGTAGGTGAGGCCAGGCCCCAGGCCTGGGGCAGGCAGGGTGCGGGGTTGCTGGGAAGGGAGAGCAGGGGCTTTATCCCAGGACCTCTCCTCCCATTCCTCTCTCCATCTTCCTTCTCCCCAGTAGAGTCTGTTCTTCTCTCTCTCTAGAACTTTCTTTATGCCCGCTGACCCTTCCATAGACTCTGACTTTGGACCCCTGCTTTTTGGGTTACCCCAATTGACCCTGTGGGACCTTTTTTTTGACTGGGTGCTAATCTCTGACCTTTGACCCAACTTGACCCAAGCTTACCCTAGTGGGCTCTAGACCGGCTCGCCTACTAAGGTTCCCATCTGCTCATGGAGGCAGTGGGAGACTGTGCTAGCAGTGTTGGGGGAGGAATCTTTCCTTGCTAATGATTCTAAGGGATCGTCTGACAGCCCATGATGCTCCACGCTGACCAGGACCAGGGCACCTGCCTCCCTCCTAGGGATGGTGCGACCAGTCAGTGTATTGAAAGGAGACGGTGACAGCAGTTAGCATCAGTACTGTCCTCTCTGACCTCAGACCCTGCTCACAGTCACACCCTAGCCTGCTCACACCCAGCTCGCTAAGCTGCCTCTGGGGGCTTTGACCTCTGTCTCTTTCTCCACAGCTGTGATCGTAGGTGGGGTGGTGGGCGCCCTCTTCGCTGCCTTCCTGGTCACACTGCTCATCTACCGCATGAAGAAGAAGGACGAGGGCAGCTACACCTTGGAGGAGCCCAAGCAGGCGAGCGTCACGTACCAGAAGCCTGACAAGCAGGAGGAGTTTTATGCTTAGCAGAGCCACAGTGCCTCCTGCAGCCACCTTGCCCAGTCCCTGGCCCCTACAACAGCCCAGGTCTGGGCCTGGGGAGGAGCCTGGCCCTGCTTCCTTCTGCCCAGGCTGCTAGCATAACACAGATGGTCCTAAGGAACAGGGGCACTACCATCTGCCCCAGACTGTGCCCTTATGAGCTCTTCTCTAGTCCCACTCCCTCCAGCCTGGGGCTTCAGGGTCTTGTGTCCCATGGACAAGAGGAAGGAAGCCCCAGGTTGCTGGTAGAAACAGGGGCAGGGCCAGGGCTAAGATGGCCCACAGTGCTTGCTGGTGTCCTCTTCTTGCTACAGAGGCCACCATGCTGGCTTCCCGGACCAAGACATGGCACATCTAGCCCCCTAAATCAAAATCGTCCAGATGCTGCAGCCTTGAGCTGCTGTCCCAAGGTCTTTCTGGGCATGAGGGTGTCCTTTGTCACCAGCCTGAGCTTGTCACTGTCCCCTCTCCCCTGCCCAATGCACATGTCCCCAGGCTGCACCTCTTTCTGCATTGCCTCCCAGGGAAAGGGCTTCCTCAGTGCACAGGGCAGCCAGTGGTGAGGGAGGCCACTCTGGTGTCCCTCCTGAGAGGGAATGCCACATAGCCTCTGTCAACCACTGCTATCCATCTGTTACCTGTTCACACAGGAGACAAAACCATACCCAGTCTCGACCACCCAGCCAGTGAAACATCACACACATGCACCTCCTTCACACAGTGCTGAGACACCCTGATGCTTCTGCCATGCAGGCCACTGTCGTCATCACCAGTGGTTATCATGCCACCTTCTTCCCACTCTGTCTCTTTACACACATTTGGTTTGGTCCTGAACCTGGCTCCTCTAACGATCTGGGTCACTGAGGAAGGCAGGGCCAAGTTGTAGACATCAGCCCATATTGGGTCCCCAGAGTCACCCTATTCCACTTGGTCCCCACCATGACACCTACACCAGCCGCACTGACACTGATCCCAGCTGACATCAGACACAATCCCACACAGATGCAGTCTCTGTGGCTCACAGAGAGGGAGGTTTGGGGCTAGCCTCCACCAGCCAAGTCTGAAGAAAGAAGCCTTGATGCCCCAAGCCAGGCTGAAGGCTGGGAAGGGAGCTAGGATCTCCCGGGACCAAGGAGCTGTGTGGGTTGTCCCTGGTCTCCACGTATCTCCTTTCTGTTCTGAGCCAGGAGCTGTCTCTGCCTCCCAGGACACATGTCTCCAAAGTGCCTGTGAGGGTGGGCCTCCGCCCAGGCCCTCTGTGTCCCCTGCCCTGGCCTGGTGAGGCCAACCTCAGGCCTACGCACCCTGGGTCCTCCCTATGGGCATAACTGACCAGGCAACTTGTCAGTTCTGGCTACAACTGGAAGAACCCACAGCCTAGCAGGCTCATCCTAATGCCGTAGGCCCTGAGAACAGTTGATGGGGACAGGGGTGTCACAGGCCCCAAGTCTACCTTCCTGTCTTTGTTGCCCTTAGAAGTGGAGTTGTTTCAGAGATATTTTAAATGTTGGGACCACCATTCTCTTTCAGGGAAGGGGGTGTGCTGTGAGAGCTCTCAGCACCAAAGGGGCGGGGCTTAGGTTATGATTGGCCAGCACCCCACACCCCCATCTCTCACACATGTCCCAGGTTCAGTCAGGTGACCACCTGTTATTTCTGTTTCCTTTTTACGATTCCTTGACAGCAGACTTGGGCAGAAAGAGGACCCACATCTGGGCAACGGAGGCAGGCGTCCCACGGTCAGGCTCTGCTCTGTCTTCCAGACCCCATGACTCCCTTGATGGGGCCCAGACTCTGAGGAGGTGGGAGGGGTGAGAGGAGTCCTAGGCTCCTGAGACCTGGAGGAGGGAGCTTGGCCAAGGTCTTCTCTGAAACAGGAGAGCTGGGTAGAGAGCAGAGGAAAGCCGGTGCCCCAGCCCCTACCCCTTGTTCCCTGGTGGGCTGCTCTCCTGGGGACTGGAGCTTTGGTGGGGAGGCTTGGGAACTGGGGGAGGCAGCCTCCAGATGCTCAGCCCATGGGGACACCAGGACCAGGGCAGGAAATCCCAGCTTCTGTGTTGGGTTAGAGCCCACTTCTCACATCTCAGGGTGGCTCTGGCTTTGGGGCTATGGGTTTGGCCTCCTGGTGCCAGCACTTTTCTGTGTCCTCAGCATTTGAGAGAAGAGCCTATGGGCCTTGTGTTTGGGGCCCAAGCCCCAAAGCCAATGTCTAGGCTTTATGCCCATGAAATTTGACCTGAAGGTTAACCGTGTGAGCAGCCCAGATGCACTGGGCCAGCATGATGAGGCCAGGACGATTTAAGAGAGCTCAGTTCAGAGGGTGAACTGAGGCTCTTCTAGTGCAATGTAGGTGCAGGGTCCTCACCCCGCCCCAGAAACAGTGCGGTACATGCAGAGCCTACCCAAATGACTCCAGAGACACCCCTGTGCTTCTGGGCAGGTGCTCAGGACACCAGCATGCCTGGAAGCATAGTGCATTCTGAATGAGAGGAGTTGATGTGTCTCGGACCTCTCCAGGCCCTGGTTTCCCAAGAGAGCAAGATATGCTGGGGCCAGAGAGCTGCAAAGCGAGGCTTCATCTCTCTTGGGAGCCAGACTAGGGACTCTATGTGCAAGGTTGATCACTTTTGATTGCCAGAGGCATATGGGTGACAGCTAGGACTGGCTGGCTGAGCATACCTGCAGCAAGAGCTTAGGATGCTGGGGCCAGACGCCCTGGGCTTGGCTTAGCCATCCACCAAGCCTCCAGGCTGGGGCTTCTGCAGAGAGCAGAGCCAGCATCGCTTTCGGGGCAGGGGTGGGTGAATGCCTAGGCTATCCTTGCTTTCCCCTGGGATGTGCCTCCCTAGCCTTGGTGTCTGTAAATAGAAGCCCACACTGTACAGATTTACAGAGGTGCCCAAACTGGGCATCACCTGGAGTCACCATCTGAGGGGCTGGTGGCCTGTCCTCCCCCAGGTGCCCTCCAGGCGCCTGGGTGTGCCTGGTCCCAGCGTGGTGAATGCATGTAAATACTTTTTGTAGACAGTGTGGCTCCAGAGAGCCCCCTGAGACAGTGCCCCCCCCACTGGTTCATCCTCTCTCCTGTACAGAGCCCTTCCTGCCCCCCCACCCCCCGGGCAACTAGGAACGGGGTTTCCTCCCCTCCCCGGGTTCCTCCTACCCCTTTCTTTCCCTATAACTTGTTTATTAACCATCCCTGTCCTGAGTTCATGGCCAAAACTTAAATAAGAAATGGAGGAGAGACAGTTGGATAAAGATACCAAGGCCCTGTCCACCCCACCATGGGTGCTCACCCACCCCTGCCTTGGGAAGGATGTGGCTTGCTTTGTTTTGTTTTTTGTTTGTTTTGTTTTGTTTTTAACATTTCCCTGTGCTGTGCCCATTTATAAGAGGAAATAAAACTAAGCTGAAAAGATGCAGTGTGGTCCACATGTGAGATGAAGATGGGGTCACTTGGGAGGGACAGTCATGTTCACCTTGTCCTTAGCCCCTGTCCCTTTGGGGAGATGGTGAATTACGCTGGTGGGGCAATGGATTAGTGTCATGATGGGAGCTTTGTGGTGAAAGCTGTGGTTCGTTGAATGCAGGGGAAATGGCGACGATGAGTGTGGTTGTGTGTGTGGGTGTGTGTGACTGTGGTTGGGTGGGGGTTGTGGTTCACCCCCAGGGGAGACTCCAACTTCAGACTGCTAAGAGAATCTTGGCCTATAGGATATGGAAACCAGAGCCATGCAGACTGTGCCTTTGGGGGCTGATATGCTCATTTCCCAGCCTCTGGCTCTACGCAAGCCCTTGTGCTCTCTGCGCCAGTTTCCCTAGCCACAAAGTGGGATGATCATATGTCCCCTGTGGAGTGGGTAAGAGCTCCATGAGGAACAGCTCAGCCCGGGGTTCCCCCTGGCTAAGTTGCTCGAGGTCTTTTTGAAGACAGTGCAGGAAGAGTGGAGGCTGGAGACCTCATGTTTCTGTGGCCTGGCTTACCAGGCACAGAGCTGGGCAAGGCCTCTTCTAGCCTCTGCTGGATACAAGAGTCAGGAAGCATGGCGCCTGCACAGCCAGGCCCACTGCCTGTCCCCAGGCTTTTCAATGGAAGCTGCTGTGTTGTGTTACAGTCACCATTGTTCATGTTCCACTGGGGACGTAACACATGCAGGGCTGTTTTGCTGTGAGGCAGGGGACAGATGATAGGCTTGGGTGCCTCATCACAGTATGCCCTTCTCCAGTGGAACCGCCTCATGGCTCATGAGTTTTTCCTCAGGAGATGGGACACCATCTCTGATAGATTGGAGCCTAACACCTGGGGTCTGGCCCCTCTTTCATGCCTCTCTTCCTCCGGATTTGACTTGTGCTTGGAACTTTGAGCCAAGAGGCAACCAGGAGGGGCTGGGAAGATGGCCCAGTGGATAAAGCACTTACCACACAAGTGCAAGAATCTGAGTTCGAATCCATATAAAGCCAGATATGGTAGCTCTTTTGTGTAGCCTCCACACTTACACAATGGGACGTCTCTGGATGCTTGCAGACCAGCTAGCCTGGCATACTCAGCAGTAAACATGACACCTTGCCAAACAAGATTGAGGCAAGGACTACCACCTGAGGCATCACACACACACACACACGCACACGCACACGCACACGCACACGCACACGGGCTTGTGCACTCGCGGACGTGTGCACTCTCGGACACCACCAGGACAGACCTACTCTGATCTTCAGAGGTCCTACTGAGGAGATGAGCCATAGCCAGTGTCAGACTCTGGAACCACTAGCCTGGCAGTTTTTCCCTCAGCTGCCATCTCTACTCATGCCCAGCTCACTCACTGCGTGGTCATTCTGAGACAGCTCCCCAGGGCCCAGGGCCTCACTTGGGAGGACTTCCAGTGGCTTGTTTCCATGAATGTCAATCAACATAGCTATAAAGTCTGGCCAGACCCAACACTGGAGGTTCTCACAGGCTGGACAGCGAGAAAGAAACCTGCTGTGTTGCAAGGGACTGGTTTCTGAAAATACAAAGCCAAGTCCATGGGGCTATTCCTCCAGGAAGCTTCTGGAAGATGAAATCTTCCTGGTTTTAAGTTTCTTTAGCCCACGGCCTCCC